GCTAGCCCTAGAGACAAGCTTTCAAACAAAAAAAAATAATTGTATATGTAATGAAGGGCCATGGAGATTTTTTGGAGATAAGATGACCTATTTTTGACCCGTGTTTTGCTCATATCTCTGTCAAATGCCAAGGTATCGAGCTGAAAATTTTACCACAGCCTTCACACTTCAGCCCCAACATATGCTCCAAATTTCAGCCCATTTGTATTGACCAGAGCTGAGATCGATTTTTGAGGGGGAGGGGGGCCTTAATATTTCAAATAAAAATAATTCAATGTAAGTATAACTTTTTTCATCCATACTAATTTCATGCAATATGATGGATGATAATAGTGTTGAAGATTTGATTTGATCTTGTTCAACAAGAATACGTTTTATATCTTGAAATTCTTTGTTTATCACAATAATCGTATGAAAATGTCGATAGAGAATAATCGATAGAATAAATGAAAACGTATTGAACAGAAACCAGGCAGAAATGAATGAGGAAGATACCGATGGATTACGACGTTTTATAGAGAGTGCAATAAGACCTGAAAAAGTACAATGAGTACAAAGTACCTATGAGTTGAATGGAAACTAATTCAATTGAAAATCCAACTGTCAATTTAATTAGAACTCGATCAATATCACGATTTTGATAGATATAATTATAATTTTAATTACACGAGGATGACCACTTATTACACCAAAAAAGTTACTTTGCCATAAAATAATTATATTTAAAATTCGAAGTAGACAAATGCTTGCTTGAATAACTAAACAAGATGCCGAATAACGCATTTGATGCTGTATAAGAATTGATGAAAATCACTCATAATTATGACAATAAATTAATATTAAATTAGTCAACGATGATAATTATCATTTGTATTGAAGAATTTTCTTTCTCTTAACAAGTCAAATTCGATCATAAGTGATGTATAATACTAGTTAATTAGTCATAATCAATAATAAAGCCATTTTATTTACTAATTTTATGTAGGGTTGTGATGAACATTGTGATGAACATTCAAAAAAAACGTACGCTTCTAATAATAAAACTAACATAATTCGTTTTTTAATTAGAATGGACTGTTGCTATAGTCAACTTTTTGAGATTAACAAGGAATTACTAGAAATTGTAATGAGACGTTTTTTAAATAAATTATGTTACTTTTCTTAATATATCCATATCAATGATGATACATTTATGGAAAACTTTTTGTAAATTGAATGCAGTTTGATGAAAAATATGTCGTGGAGACAGGAGCCTTGATAGGTTCCCGACATTGGAGATATAAAACAATTTTCGCTGGAGATAGGTTGACTTTTTTAATTTATAAATTTCGCGTCCGAAGTAGCGTAAGTTGCAAAAAAGTTTAGTTTTGGTGGGTGTGGGGGGGGGGGGGGGGGGCGGGGCGGGGGGCGGGGGGGGGGGGGGGGGGGGGGGGGGGGGGGGGGGGGGGGTGGGGCGGNTGGTTTACTTTTTTAATTTTTAAATTTGGGGGCCCCTTTTGGGTTTTTTGCAAAAAATTTTATTTTTGGGGGGGGTCCCCCCCCCCCCCCCCCCAGATTTCTAGCCCCTGTGTGGAGAACTCGGAGTTGTTTGATTTTGTTCAGCAGTGTTTTCTCTATACTGTTTGTAAAAGGATTTTGACGATTTTGCTTCTTTGGAAGCAGATTTTCTAGTGATTTAAACGGTACAGTATATACCCCCACACTGTTCCTGATCTGGAAACTTTTAAATATTCATATCTTTTGTAACTATTACGGTCGAGCTGAAATATAAAAAGCAAAGCAAAGAGATTTTTAAAATGAGTTTTTCTAGTGCTGTATTTGCGCGCTTCCAAAAATTTTTCTTTCCAACAATCAGATTATTAGTAGTAGTTTATCGTTATTGCTTCTTTTTGATCTTGTTCTACGTTCTTGTTTGAAACGTTTCACAGCCGAAGAAACATTTGAAAATTTCTATTGACTCTCTATCATAGACAAACAACGGGCAAAAACAATCACTCTGTGAAACTGCTGATCTCCAATGTCTGACTTTCTGACTGCTTTCAGTATGAAGAGAAAAAAGAAGAAAATTCAAGAAACCAAATTCTCGAGTATCTTGAAATTTCTTGACATCTTGTATTGAGATCTTTGGTTATCGAATCTTGCATCCAAGTTTTTGAACATCTTTTGTGAAGAACTTAAAGAAATTTTTGCCAAAACCTTGATTACAAGAAGTTCCATTAAGGTACACGATTTCAAGCACAAATAAACACTCGGGTCTTATTAGTCATATTTAACGACATTCATTGTTGAAAAGTCATAAACTTTTATATTTAGCGATATTCTCTTTTAAAATTGACTTGCATAAAATCTTTCTATTTTAATATGATAATATCACAGGTTGTTAAAATCACATAAAATTTCTTCTCTTCAATTGATAACAAATTGGACAAATATCAAGCTCGAATGTCCGACATGTTCATCGTTTGAACGAGAAGACAACGACGTTCGAATGTAATAAATGAAGAAGTGATTATTTGTTTGTTGAACAAAATGTTTCAATACATATAGTAACATTCATTCAGACAAACAATCAAAAAGTATGCTTCTGAAATTAACAGTCTCAGAGTGCTGACCAGTGAGTAAATTAAGATCTGGATGATGAGGTTAGAAATCATAATCTAAACTAAGACCTCCATCGGACTAGTGATTAGAGAAGTGGAATATTAACGTCGTGCAGAGTGAAACTTTTAGTACATTATATAGTAAATCATTGAATTGAGCCGATAATCCATTTCGAAGCTATCTTGCTACTTTCCTCGAATTGTTATCGAATGCAAACATATCTATTTCTTTTAGTTTATTTCATTTTTAATAATAAAATTCAAACTGTTTTTCTTATTTGCTGTTATATAAAATGCACATGATACAAAGAGAGAGAAGAAGAAAAATAACAAAGAAACTTCGATAATTTCAGTTGAAGAAAATATTCATATGAAAAGAAGAAAAAAAATTAACAAAAATACACATACAAGACAGATGCATCAAACAATTTTGAATGATTTTATAAATTTGACTAAATTTCAAAACAATCAAAGAAATGAGAAATATCAGTAGCTATTCAATTTGTTCTAAATATCGTTGTTCTTAATGAGCATATTATGAGATGAATTGAGTTGAATGAATCCTTTCATGAGTATTATGGAATGTTCGACGATATGGGACAACTCAATGTCTTACTATCTACTATGTAGAATAAAAGAGAAGAAAAAAACCCTAAAACATTTCAGCACAGAATAAACTAAAACTATACCATTTAATTACAAGTGTTATAATAAATAACAACAACAGCAAACAACAAAAAACAAAAACTGTATACAGCAGATTTAAACAGTTTGAGCTAATGTCGATGAGCATAATGTTGTTGGAATAGATACTGACGGTCTCATAGACAATGAACAATTTGAAGATGAAGTAGACGATTGTGAAAATGTGGGTGACGAATTTAATGAGGATAGAGGCGATGTGTTATTTGTAGCTGTACACGTTGTCGAACTGGTATTAGCTGTATTTGTCAATGCTAACGGTGTAGTATGAAGTCCTTCAAAATGTCGAAATATCAATGCCACATAGTACATGACTTTTTCCCAATCAGGCCATTCAGTATTAACCATTTCGTCGATATCCAAAATTGATAGAATTCCAACACTGTTCGCAATATTAAACGCTATTTCAAATCGTTTTCTCTAAAATAGTAACCCAGTACTGTTGTTTTCAATAAGATAAATTCAATTTTTTTTTTACCTTTGTTTCATTTTTAATTTCATCTAAATTAATCATATCTGGTAAATAACTATGCAACAATGAACAAAATGCTAAACCATCTGTCCAACTATTACTAAAATTTGTTATGGTTATTCCCTAAATAAGAAATATTTATCATATATGTCTATAAAAGTGTGTTCAACTTTCTTTTACTTACATAAGTGGCCAGTTTTTCTACACACCATTTTAGAAATGCATCTCGTTTACATACAGAGCCTGGCATTCGAGTATAAACAGCTTCAACGATACATTTCATTTCATCATATTGTTCACTAAATAACAATAATTACGTTAAGTCCGTTTGAATGTGAAAAAAATAAGAAAAAAAGAGACATACTTTGTTATTGATCTTAATGACATTACGGATCTTAAACTACTATTTGGACAATTTGTTGTAGATGAATTTAATAATGAGGATGTTGTTTGTTGATCAGCGTTGTTATTTCTAGCTGAAAGCATTTTAACATCATCTGTAGTAGTGCCCAATTGTTGTCGATGTTGGCCATGACCATTAGTTAGAACAGCGTTTGTCGTTTCTGAACGCGTACATGGCTGAGATAATGGCCGTTGTCGAATGATTTGTTCAAAAACATTGTTATTGTTGTTGTTATTATTCAAGGGAGATGACGTGGCTGAAACTATTGTTGAACCTAAAGAAATAATATAACAATAACAAATAGAGAAATATACAAAAACAACATACCATTTCTTGAATTAGCTTCAAGTGTACGTATCATTTCTTTAATTCTTAATGGACCAAAATCTAACAAAATAAAATATGATCAATGAAGCATAGTTCATGTTTTAAATATATTACGGAAATATCACCATGTCCCATCCGATATATTGCACGACATATTGGATCTTATGTAGAGTTTGACGGGTTTTTAAACCCGATCCCGTCCCGTACGCCTGAAACTCATGCTCAATCCAAACAATTTTTCAGAATCGGGATCGAGTTAAACCCGAATGACTCTAATCATATGTCGTGACGTGTCGGTAAAAACTCCATTTATTAGTCGATTGCATTTTTACTTTCTAAGTCAAAATTTCAGGGTTCGAATCCAATTTTCCCCAACTTTTTTGTTTTCAACTCTCGTTTCAACCACTGGAAATAGCCATGAGATTGTTGCTAGCCTATGACACAGTCAAACTTCACACTTCAACAAGTGCAAGCAAAGTTTTAAGGTATCTCTTTCGTACAAAATATATTGGGTGTGGAATGGACATTGTCCACAGTTGATTTGAACAGAACAAAGCCAATATAACCCGATGAACGGAAAGAAACAATAAAATGAGATATGTGTCATGTATGACATCGAACAACCAACATGTGCGAAAAGATTTCTCGTTGTTTGTTAGATGTCTTTATGGGTCTATATGCTAGGTGATATATCGAACTTTTTAGCAATATGTAGTAAAGAATAATAAAACATGGTATGCTAGCACAAGATAATCAAATTATTCATACCCGGTAAACCGTTTGAAATTCGATTTTGTGATGGCAAATTCATCTAAAATATCAAAAAGTAATTTTAAATTAGTATACGAACTATTTGGTTTAGTCTATCTTCAAAAAATGTCGTATATTAATCTCTACCTGCCGACGTTGTACTTCTTTATTGACAGCTCGTTCATGTTCAATATATTCGGTCATACGTTTTAAATCTTCATTCGCTTTAGTTAAACGATCTTCTGCATCTATATACACAAAGAACAGTCCACAATCATATAACGTATTTTCTATGATAAAAAAGTGTTTACCATGTCTCATTTCACTTGCAACTCGAACAGCAATCAACATATCTTTTTGAAATTCATCTTTTTCAATTAATGTTAATTCTAATTGTCTTTTAATATCAGCCAATTTCTTTTCAACATCTTCAATTTGTGTTGATAATGATGAATTTTTTTCTCTATAAAAATAAATAAATAAATTTGATAAAATTTTTTAAATTATATACATTCACATTTTACTTGTAAGCGGCAATTTTTTCTTCATAATCATCTTCTTTATCGATTAATGCTTTTTCCAATTTTCTATTTTCATCAACCAATTCACCACATCGAATTTGCGATAGAGCTTTTTCTTTAATAACTTCTTCAATTTTCATTTCTAATTCATTAATATGTTTTTTTAATTCTTCTTGTTCATTTAAATATTTTTCTTCTAACAGACGTTGTTGTTGTTGTGCTTGATAAAATTGTTTTTGTTGTCGTACGAGAGTATCATCTAATTGAGCAATTTTTGTTTCATGTTCATAACGTTGTGTACGCTGTTTTTGTACAAGACATTGCAATTCATTTTCATTTGTACTTTTCATTTGTGTTAATTCTTCAATCTATTTTTGTGATTAGAAAAAAACAAATGGAAAACTATAATTCGTTTCAAACAATGGTAGAGAAAATTTTCTGTTTCGGTAAGATTTTTTCACTTATGGTTTAAAAAATGATTCATTTTTTTCCGGATCAAACATACAATTTTCTATCATTCTCAGCTGCAGAATCGACATAGCTAAACGATTATATTATTTATCACGTATTTTAAAGGTACGGTATACGAATAAACCGCGAAGAGAGTTTTAGCCACCTTTGGGGATTATAGATTGCAAGAAAGGTATCGAACTATCGAACTAAAGTAGCCGAAACCTAATGGGTTATAGGTCATTGACCGAGCTGATTCCGAATATCCATATGAGATGGGCCGGTTATCCTTCCCAGAGCAGTTTTCTGGAAATCTCGAAAAGTCCCTAAAACTTTCTCTTAATAGATCACGATTGTAGCCCACGAAATTCTGATCAAAATGAGACATCTCCCATCTCTACATGACCTTTCTTTGCAAAGTTACAGAATTTACAAGAAAAGCCCTAAATTAATTTCTTCTTATTTCTGTAGCTTTGAGCTGACACTGAACATTTACGGCTTTTCTTGTAAATTCTGTAAGTTTGCAAAGAAAGGTCATGTAGAGATGGAAGATATCGTATTTTTATTAGAATTTTGTGGGCTACAATCGTAATCTATTAAGAGAAAGTTTTAGGGACTTTTCGAGGTTTCTGAAAAACCGCTTTAGGAAGGCCTAGTGACCCGTCTCATATGAATATTCAGACTCAGCGTGGTCGATAACCTATAATCCACTAGATTTCGATCAGAAAGCGGTTAGACAGTTGGAAAAGGTCCCTCGTGAGTCTGATGGATAGATGATGTACACGCACAGATTAGATTTAGTGTGAATTTCAGTCCATCATAGTATTCCTCGCTTTCAACGTTGAAAGACTAGACTCGAAAGTACGAGGTTTTAACGTATATTTATGAACACTTAAATGATTTACTTAGATGATACTAGACATAACCGTTGATACTAATTTCTGAAACCAAGTCGAACACATCTCTAAGAAGTTCTAACTTTTTGACGCTCTGAACAAACGTATGCTAATAAGATTTTTAAATTTCTCACCAATAATTAACAAAAGTTAAAAGTTAAGTTTACATATTATTCGTCTCAACTTTCGCAGATTCTTCCTCTCAGAAGTCTAAGAAAATGTGCTGACCATTATTAACTAAACACGTTTGAAACATACTTTTTTTCTTTCATTATCAAGTTGTATTTTTAATTTTCCATTATCTTGTTCAAATTTTTCATATGATTTTTTAAATTCATTTAAATCCGAATTTAAACGTTCTAATTCATCTAATTTTTTTTCTAATTTAATTTTATAACAAATTGATAAATCACGCATTTTAGCATTCTCATTTTCATAATGTTTTGATTGTTCTTCAAATTTCAATAAACGTTCTTGTGATTGACGCTAACGAAATAAATCATAAATGATAAAATAAAATGGATAGAAAGCAAATTTTTATTGAACATACTTGTTGACGTAATAATTCATCACGTTCTTCTGTTGCTTCTTGTAATAGTGATAACAATTTTTTTTCATCATTGTGTTCTTGTTCTAGAAAAAGAGAAAGAAAAAGATAGACAATAAAAGCTATTTTCTATTTTTATTTACCATTTCTTATCATTTGTTGTAATTGTTCATTTTTTTCTTTTGAATTACGTAACTCTGTTTGACGTTCATGAAGTGATAGTCGTAATTGATCTCGTTCTTTTCGAACATTTGACAATTGTTGTTCATAATTTTTAATCGTTGACTAAACACAACAAATTTTGTATAACAAAACAAGAGATATAACTCTTCTGTAACTGTTTTGTACAGTTAAAAAAGTTGATGAATACATTTTCTCCACATTTATCTACCATTTGTACTCATGATTTCAACGTTCATGATATATTTTTTGATAAAAATATTATACTTTTCCCAAATCTGAAGCTGGTGAATTCTTTCAGACGATATTTTCTTTCGAAATATTAAGTTAGTAGCAATTAGATCTGTATCGATGTAATGTTCTTTTTTATGAGTAGCTCCCATACGTGATATGCGTATATCTGAACCGCTCTTTCAACTCTCTCTCTCTCTCTCTCTCTCTCTCTGGTAGTGAACATATCATACATCTGAGAGCTACAAATGGTACAAGTAAAAGAAGTTATCTAATTTAGATAGCCTTTAATATAAAGCTTCCAGTTCTAAAACAATATCTTACTTGACAATCTGTTAATTCATGTAGAATAGCTTGTAATTCTTCATTTTTTGATAAATTTTCATCTTTGACAGATTTTAATTGTGCATGTAGTTCAATAAAATCGTTGTGTGTAGATGTATTATGAGTTTGTGTATGAATTGTTGTTGTCCCGTGCCCGTTGGACTCTGGCCAACGTCTTTGTTGTGTTTTTGGCTGTTGTAGTTGATATTGAGGTATTTGTTGAGAAGTTTGTTGTTGTTGTTGTTGTTGTTCTTCGTGGTAAGACGATGATTGTAGTTGTTGCTGTTTATTTGAACGTGAAAGTGAATTGGCACCAGAATAAGATGGTGGTGGTGAAGTTTTTGATTGCGCTTTTCGTTGTTGTTCTTCATTATTATGTTTTACTTCAATTTCAATTTCACTTTTATGTCTTATTTCATTTGATGATGATGATGATGAAGAAGGAGGAGGATGTCGTTGAATTGGATAATGATCATGAGTATTATTAGATGATGTCGAGAAATTTGTGGATTTAATTAGATGATCTGAAGTATTGCTGATTGGAGTATTTGACGACTGTGGTGGACTGTTTGGCGCTAAAAAACAAGAGAAAGTGTCATTTTCACAGATAGAAGAAGAACCGTAGTTGTAATTTGAATATCAACAGTGGAAATAAAACAAGATGGCCGTACCAGAACAAATTTTTTTCAATGACATGTTAAATACTACTACAGAAAAATATATAGGAAAATACGGCTTTTCTAATTTTTTTTTGTTTTGCCATTGTCATTATTTTGATGTAAGCAAAAATGAAATGAATCGTACGTATTTATATATGCGTGCCTGTCTAAGAAATACAAACATAATAAAAAATTTGTTCTTTGTAAAAGAACTCTTTTTCTTGTCTTCTCTCTTCGTATATAGTATATTATACACATTTATAACAAGTTTCTTTTGATTTAATCTATACACATACGTAATAGAAGAAAAAAACAACAATGAGCAACCAAATTACAATTACTCAATCGACATGATTCAAGTATATATGCATGTTCAATCAATCAACACGAAGAAGAAGAAGAAGAATGATACACTAGAAAATCTTATAATCTAACTGAAACATGCTCTAATTTGTTTATTTTTCATCTACCTTGAATAGGTGGATCTCGAGACATTTATTTTTTCTCGTATGGAACTTTGTATCAATTTCAATAACGTTATTGAAATTTTTCGTTTTTTTTTTTTTTTGCTAAGTATATGACCTTGTTTTTATTTTCAATATTTTCTGAAAGGATATAAATAAAATAAGGTAGTACCTTTTTTCTCTTTAATGTTTTACTATCTTATACGAGAGAAGAATAAATTCTCATCATCATGAAAAGAACAGCAAAAAAGAGTCTTAAACCAAAGACCCTACCACTATGACTGCTACTATGATTAATCGCGAACTCGATTCTTTTTTGAAAAAAAAAGAAAAAAGCCAACAGTGATATTTTGTAATTGAATTTCTTATTCTTTTTTTCAAAGGGTACACTATCTTTCTCATAAAGAGAAATGGAAAAAGTAATATGACAACGCCAATTATTGCACAGACAAACTTTTACTTTGATATAAAAAAAATAATCTTTGCAACACTATTTTATTTCTTTTATCATAATCCTATGGCATGAACATATTATCACTCTGTTTTACAATGATATGTGAGAATGATGCACAGATCGTTGATAAACTACTACATACATAATTTATTAAATAAAAAACTTAATGAAAAAAAATTCTGTCTAGTAGTTTCAATGACAAATAGAATTATTTCTAATTTAAGTTTATAATAAATGAAATAATGAACTCTATCTTATTTCTATGAAAATATTTTTGTCTACAATGATGAACTATCTTACACTATTATTATTTACCGTTATTCGATGATGAATGGACATATTTTGGATATTTCCATGATGTTGTATTTACTACAGGTATACTTTGTTTTTGTTTTAATGGTTTTAAAAATGTATTTGAATCAAATGCAAATGTAGAAAATTGTTGTTGTATATTAATATCCGTAAAAAATATTGACAATGATGGTAATCTATTATTCTTATTATTCATTCTTATTTCATGGTTATCGATGTTATTATTAGTCTGTGTAGTGTCACCATTTAGATAATATCGCTGTTCAAATTATTATAATAATGACTCTAATAGTTCTAATACAATACAAAATTCTCTTCGATTTGTCTCTTCGTTATCTTTTTTCATTTATTCAAAAGACATATACATATACATATATGTACACACATATATATGGTGATGTCTTTCATTCTTATATATTTACATTTTTTAATTCAAGCTCTCCCCCTTTTCTTTTCCTCATTCGAGGTTAAATTTTCTCTTATATATGTGTCTAGTTATACATCATCACACTTTATTTTGTTGATTTATTTAGATATAAACACCGTTTACTCAAATCACACACACACAAATAGAATGTGAAAAACTTCTTTTCGACAAATTTTTACATTAGTTATTGATGATGATGTTGTTTTTCGTAAAGAACGCGCTGTTTTAGGAAGAAAAAGAACATATAATTGATCAGGTATATGCACAAGTAATTAAGTGACAAGAGGTGAAGAAGAAGAACAAAACAAAAAAAATTTCATAAAACAAAATAAATTATCGAATGAAATGTGTAAAAATAAATAAAGTAAATTTCAAAATGAACTAAAAGAAAGTTTAACGTTCAATATAACACTACCTTAGATAAAATAGATCTGTGAAAAAAACAATAACTCATTATTGAGTTTATTAAGTAAATGTAACAAATATCGAACTTGTTGATTAATATTTGATAATATGCTAATATCGACTAGCAAATTAACTCTAATCATTCAAATGAAATATTCAAATTGGTATAGTTGTTGGTATAGTTGTTTTATTGACTATTTTTCATCTCTCTCTCTCTCTCTCTCTCTCTCTCTCTCTCTTTTGTTGTGTTGATACTCTTACATTTTTTTTTCGCTGTGCGTTTATATCGTTTGACAGTGTATATTTGGTTGTTTATTTTTAAAACACTTACATATTTAATAGCTCCTATTCTTATCTGACTAATAGATCTTGATTTTATTTGACAATCGAAGAAGCTCATCGATCGATCAAAATAATACTATGTGTTTATAATTCAAGCAAAACTAAACGATTCAGTACACAATTGGTGACAAAGTGAGAGAGAGAGAGAGAAAGAGAGAAATGTGTTTGTTTTACAATATTCTATCTTCAGTATAACAAAATAAAACTGTCGTCTCTCGTTGAAACTATGTATATACATCGATATATATATATACCTTTTAATGATGAACAGAAGTGTATAAAACTGACATCGAACATTAATATTATCTCTACTACTTAAGGACATGGACAATGATTTTTTGGGAAAAATTGGTTTCTTCTGCTAGTTGTAGTATTATAATTAAATATGAAAATGGTACGCGTGCATGCAAATCAGATAGAGATTATTTTTATTTAGAAACAAGCGTGCATAAATTATTACTATTAACTAATATAGAATGCCCTTGACGGTAAAAGAAAAAAATGATCAAGTTGTACTTGAAAAAATGATTTACTTCATAATTTAAAATTATCTTTTAGTATATGTTATCTAATTTTCCGAAAAATTGATAAATATATAAATAATGATTTTTAAAGTAAATTTGTATTTTAATATTCCAAAGTGATCTTTAAATGAAATGAAGTTTAAACAAATGCTGGTGCAAACAAAATATATAATAATTGAAAAAATTAGCAATATTCACATATATATCCTATTAAATTCTTGTATAAATAAATGAAAAATAAAGTCAAATAACTATTATGGTTTTTAACAATATAAGTTGTTTATATATTCTTCTCTCAATTCATATGTATACATAATAATGTTTATATATAATTTTAATAGTCCTTCATAAAACTGTCAAATCATTCTTAATACATAAAAAAGAAAAAGAGAGAAAAAAAAAATGATGTGAATTAACTTGAAATGAACAAAAAAAAAAAATCGCATATTGTACCGTCAACACTTTGAACTGCCAAAAAAAAAAATTAAACAATACATCAAGGATAAGTACCAATAACTGTTAGCTAAGGTGTCATTTTTCTGTAGAGCTAATAATAACAGAACATTACGTGATACAAAGTAGTTTTTATTCATAGTGCATAGTTGCTGTAGAGTTGGAACCGAGTCGATATCAGTTTAATAAATAAAACGATCGAGAGGCCTCTTTTAGAGAAATTTTGTTAAATAGACCAATGATTCAGTTGAATATCTCTCATCTCTCTTCAGTATTTCTTTCAAATTCTAAAAGATCAACAAAATGAGTAAAACGATAACGCATTTACGTCGATCTTCACGTTTATCGTTGATTTTGGAGATGACATTAAGACGTTTTTCGGTCATAATTTGCACACCCAAAAAAAGTTATGAAAAACAAAGATTTGAACTAAAATTAGTCATATTTTTACATAACAGGACGAAATTACAAAGGCCTATTTGACCTATGTGTCTCTCACTCTCAAATATGTGATTTTTTTTCTAAAATGATATAACTGTTAACATGTTAAAAGAATGGTCTAAAAACTAAACGAAGAAAAGTCTTGAAATAAACGGCGATAACAAATGTTGTATATCTTAGAAAACTCATCGAAAGACAAGGTCAAACTGAACACAGACATAGATATGAAGATGTATGTTATGTATGCAATTGATCATTGAAAAAAAAAGAAAAAAAAAAACGTATATATGAACCAATATGTGGCAATTATTTTATTTTTATGATGATGACGAAAACTTATATAACAACAGCGAAATATTTTACTCAAATAAAAAATTTGTGGATGAAGATAGTATGATATTGGATACATGAGAAGAAGAAAAAAAAAAAAAGAGCGATCACGAAGGACAATACAATAGATTTATTACAATATATATCTTAAGTGATATATACACACATACATATACACACTTCAGCGAAGCGACGTAGAATATGTAACAAATATATATATATATATATATCGATTGTGAGAGAATGAGAGGCTTATGAATATTGAATAAATTTAACAGTAAATAATCAAAGTAATCACATAACATATATTCACTTCAATCAATCGCGATTTAACACTTTTCAAGCATAAACTTCTCGAAAATGACTAGATCTTATGAAGTGAGTTTTACTTAAAACAAACTTAAAACTAGTGAGTGATGAACACAAAGTTGAAGTAAAGTCATTTGAAAAATAGATTTCTAAAATCTGAATTATTCATTCCAAGAAAAAAAACTGAATGAAAAATTGATGCTATTGTCTACTAAACTATTCAGAGTGATTTTCAGTCAAATGTCAAGATGAAGTAGAAGAAATATTAATAAAAGAGCTCTTGAATATCGTGAAAATAATCTTAACTATAGTACACAAATAGTTTTAAAAAAAATCGCTTATTGTGTTATGATTATTTTCATATGTAAAACTTACTTGATCCATTTCTATAAACAACAATTGGTGTTAAAATTTGTTTCTTATCATGTGAATTATTTCCTGTTTTATTATTAGTATTAGAAGTGGTAGTCGCATTTAATCGTCGTTTTTTTATTGTAATAAATATTGTATGACAAAACGATGAACATAATGCAACAGTTGAAGATGTTGGTGGCATCTTTATAGTATTTAACAATGGTGTTGTTGAATTATTAAAATAATGTCGATTAGATTTTTCTTGTAATGAGGATAGTGATAATGATGTAGTAGATGAAGATGAAAAAGAAGATAACGAAGAAGAAGAAGAAGATGAAGAAGACGACGACGTATTATGAATTAACTCTTTGTAACCAAAAGAGTTTGAATTCATAGTTTCTTCTTGATGATGATATTAATTTTGAAATGATACATTTTCATAAAAACATATTGGAACAAAATAGAATAATAAAACAAGATTTTTCTTGTTAAAATAAACGAAGAAGACAACAATAATGTGTCTTCTTTAAGAATTTTTTCTTTTTAAAATAATTTAATTAGAATAAAACCACTAGTAATGTTCAATTAATTTATAAACAAACCAGTACCGTTTTTTTCTCATATCGAATAGATATAACTGAAAAATACATATGTACACACAACAAGAAAGAAAGATTAAAATATCTTTTTATCTCTCTGTTGTGTTTTAGAAACTATAATCAAATTACAAATGAATTGTTAAAATAGTTCAGAATTATTTATTTTCTGCACAGGTTTTGACAAACCATAATTCAAAAATAAAATAAATTGTACGACAAAGATAAAGAAGAGAGAGAGAGAGAGAAACTAATCGTTAATATATATCGTATATATATATATATATGTCGTATATATATATATATATGTAGCAAAAACGTTGTCTCATATTTCTTTTTATTTTATTTCGATAGATCGAAAATATTTCGTACACTTATTGATGTAGCCCCCTTCCCTCATTTCTTGAGCAAAAAAAGCAAAAAGGACGCAAAAAAAAACTTGTACATAATAGAGATATGTGTATGTATGTACAGATATACGTGTGAATATTATATTAAACATCTTGAGCGTTATGTAATAAGTTTTTAAATTATACAAAAAGAAAATTGAGACAAAAGAAGGAAAAGAAAAAAAAAATCAATTTTTTTTAAAGTTTGTGGCAATTTTTATCAACAACAATTGTAACATGAGAAAAAATCATAAATGATTTTGTTATTCGTTAACTTCTTCTCATCTCATCTACTTCATTTTAGCTCATTTGACAACAATAAACAAATTGAACAGTTTTTAATAACGCTAAAGTGTAGAAGTTACACAGGGAGAAAGACACTTTAATAGTATTATTGACGATACACAGCTTCTGAGAAAATTGTTCATTCTCATTTTAAACATTTTACAAAAAATTAATCTCTCCTTTCTCGTCTCGCTCTCATTATCTCATAAAATTACACTTTCAAACAGAAAAATGTAATTCTCTAATTTTCAGTTCAATCTGCCGACTTGATTTTGCTGAAAAATGATTCTTTTCTGCTAAAATCTTTAAAATAGTTTTCTATCTTTGCTATTGTCTGACAA